CAGACCATTACAAAGCGGAGAATTAGGCTTTGTGGGATGGAGTGGGCTTGAAGAGCCTGGCTGGGGCCAGGTGAGAGGTACTGAGTCAGCCCATGGTGGGGGAGAGCTGGCTTGGAGTTAATATCTGGTTCATGGTGCAGGGGTAGGCACAATGCGGTCAGCTCCTTTGGAGGTGGTCGGTACCTATGAGGATGGGGACCAGATGTCACTCTGCTGAGGAAGGTCTGGAAGGAAGCCTGTTAGCTGGGGGAACTGGGATGCTTGCTGCTGGCAGGGGGAGAGTACCCCGTGGGCTGGAAAGGTGGCACTACAGAAGTGACTGGTGTGAACCGCAAGGCTCTGCTCTGGGTAGTGGAGAGCTGTGAGAGTGTGGGAGGCCCAGAGCTGACATCCTGGCCTTGTCTGTGCTGGGGCCCCGGCCCCCGTATCCATTGTCTGTCCCCACCTTCCTGACCCTGAAACAACTGGGCTTCTCACATCTTCTAACCAGAGGGCTTGATTTGAGGGTTATGATGGGGAATGGTTCTGGTTGCCTCCCAGATAGCTCCTCCGCCTAACAAGTGACCTTACCTGCAGCTTCACCATTTGAGGTTCATTTCTTTGAGTTTAATGTTTTAAAGGGCACCTTTCTGAAGTCCTAATTTAAAATGCACATTCTTCTGGAAGGTGAAGGTCTAGTGGAGCCTTGTTACTCTGAATGTGTCCTGTGGACATGTAGCATCAGCCTCACCTGGGAGCTTGTTAGGAAGGCAGACTCTTGCACCCCACCCCTGACCTCTTGAATCAGAATTTGTATTTGACAAGATCCTTGAGTGATTTGTTTGCTCAGTAAAGTCTGAGGAGCCCTGATCCACAGTGCCTTCTCAGGAATGGACATTTCACAGCCCCTTGGTGCAAAAAGCCTGTCGAAAAGGGCAGTGGATAAGAATGTAGGTTTGAGAATGTGACTGGAACTTCTTTTCCTGGACAGTTACGGTGGGGTTGGATTAATAGCCCCCACTGGCCCCTTGGGGCTATCCCCTGCTAATGCCAAGAGGGTGTCTGTGTTTTGGGGATCTTTAGACAGATTCAAGTGGCAGCTAAGCTCTCTGTGCAATTAACACATTGCCATGTGTGCTGCATATGGGGCAGTGGAAAGTGTGTAGAGGGGCAGAGTTTCTGAAGTTGGATAAGCTGCTCTACCTCTAAGAGGGCGGGGCTGGGTAGATGCTGTCCCTTAAGGGAAAGTAACTGTCCTCCACTTCATCTCTCCCTCCCGAATGGGTGGAATGACCCATTGATCACATCTCTCAGGGGCCACAGGATTTATGCAGAGGGAGCTGTAGAAATGCTAATCTGGGATAGCCTGAAGAGGGGAGGTTAAGGGCCAGGCTTCACTCTTAACCCCCAGCCCCCACATCAGCCTAGGCTGGACATCCCCTTTCTGCCACTCTGGTCCCA